CGACCGCGAGAACTCCACACTCATACCACGCTCTGCAAGCTTGCCAACGGATAGTAATACTTGTCGAATCCGGAAATGTGCAGAACTTCCACCATGCGAAAGCCCGTTCCGTCCAATCCAGTCAGTGTCACCGTGTCAGCTCCTTTAATGAGCAACTTCTTCCCATCTGCAATCGTAACTTCAATGCTAGCTTCAAGGCTCTTGTAATCAAACAAGTCCTTCCTGTGTGGGGTCATGTGGGAAGCCACTGTCAATCAGCCATCCTAATGACTTTCCTTCACCAACAGCAAACACCGTGACATCGCTGTCGGACCTCTTACTGGCCGAGCAGTTCCGCTCCCTGTGCCCAAACTGGTCACAGTTAGAACACTTGCCCTTGAATCCGCCGTTATTGCGTGGAGGACAACCCTTTCGTCCATTGTTCCGTCCACCTCTAAATCTTCTAGCGTTTTCATTTACACGAAACGCTTTCTCGGTAGGTTCCTATCTTTGCAGCTTCTCCGATTCCTTGAGCAGCTTCTCCTTGATTTCAATGAAGGTGATGTTCTTCGCATTCTCCACAATCGACGAAATTAATTCATACTCTTCCGGCAGACTGCTGAGAAGAACCACCAGTTGACGTGACTCATCAACTGGCTCTCTCGTAGTCTAGACTTCCACAACCAGCTCATCAAAAGAGTCCAGATGCTCTGCTATGGTTGTCCCACTTTCCATCTTGAACTCGTGCAGTCGACGAGTCATCATCACACGGTTGTAAAGAGTCGAGCATTTGTAGAAATCGCGGGGGGTTATCGATTGCTTCCATGGCGCGCGTAGCCAACCGAATCTTGGTCTGGTGCTGGATCTCAAAGCCTTGTGCGATGATGCCGAGCGCCTTGGCATCATTTACCAGCCAGGCCTCGGTGACGTCACTCTTTACGTTGACGGTCATGATGTGCCCCAAGAGACCCTTCCGCGCCAGGGTCATCCTCATGTTGAACTCTCAGTGGTAGTAGTTACCACTCCCAAGGAGGACTTCGGTTCGCTTGTTGGCCAAAGTGGGCGAGGACGTTGCTTGTAGAGAAAGGCTCGATGTGGCTGTTAACTTGTTGAGTAGAAGGTAAAAACCGAAGTGAATATATTTAGGTCCTTAGTTCGCCACTCTGTGCTAACGCTAAGTCTGTCTTTCTAGATCCTTCTAGAAGCTTCTATAAGCATTTTGATTTATCTAGACCAATAAACGCCAACCATTATGTAATTACTTACTGTGACGTGCTCGTAAATGTGATTACGCCATCTACCTTTTCAACATGCATTCAGCGATGTAATCTCAACAGCATTGATTGGGCTTAACGATGAATGCAAAAACGCATTAGATCGTGAAGCAGCTAAAACGTAAGCTGGAGCGGGGAGTGGCACGGGGCAATAGCAACATGCG